CGGCGGCGCGCCCCCCTCCCCGGCCCCGCGGCCGCCGCTCACCCCCGCTCCCCGCAGGACTTCTCCCCCGGCTCCCGGCGGCACCGTACCGTGGAGGACTTCAACAAGTTCTGCACCTTTGTCCTGGCCTACGCCGGCTACATCCCGTATCCGCAGGAGGTGAGTTGCACCGGGGGGCACCGGGGGGGCACCGGGTGGTCTGTCGGACCAGCCGCTCCAGCGGTCACGGCCCCGCGCCGGGCCGGAACAAAAGGAACGGCGGCGGCTGGAGGCTCTGGGGACGGGGCGGGGGGTGGCCGGCGTGGGCGGGGTGAAAAACGTCGGATCCGGCATCGCTCCCCGGGCGCTCCGGCGGAGATTCCCGGGGCGGCGCTGGGGAGAGCAGGAGCGACAGCGCCTCGGGGGACAGCGCCTCGGGGGGACAGGGGACAGTGCCTCGGGGACAGGGCGCAGCGCCTTGAGTCGCACGCAAGTCTGTTCTGAGTCAATGCTGTACCTGCTTTCTCGACGTGTTCCAGGAAACGCCACTGAGGAACAGCCCCAGCCCTCCCAACAGCACTGGAGGCACGATTGACAGCGATAGCTGGGATCCTCGCTTCAATGACACCCCCTCCTCTGTCTCCCTGCCCACCAAGAACAGAAAGAACTTCAGTCAGCTTAAACGAGCAAAACCATATGGTTCCCTGTTCCAGCGGGCAAAGGCCAGCAACTTCCTGCCAGAGCGAAAACAAATCGATAAGATCAGGAAGAAGAAAAAGCTGAAAAGGAGGGAAACAGAAGTGTCTGCAGAGGAGGACTACGAGGAGAAGCTGCTGGAGCTGGAGGCAGAGGACTCTTACGCAGAGACACCGATGAGCCCCTCGTCAGAGGGCGACCCGCAGTCTGTGACCGAGCACTGCTCGGTGTGGGACTCTGACACCCCATCCAGTGTCTCCTACCCCGCTGTGACAGCCGAGCAGACGGTGGAGATCCAGAGCGTGGGCAAACGAACGGTCATTCGGCAGGGCAAGCAGGTGGTCTTTCGGGATGAGGATGGCACTGGTGACGATGAGGACATCATGGTGGATTCAGGTAGGTGGCCTGGCTGTCCAAGAGGATCAGCCAGGTGGAAGTGGCGGTGCTGTTGCCGATTTCTTTGGTACTTTACCTGTAGCGTGAGATTAATGCTGAGCAGTGCTGCCTGGGCAGTTAGGATTTTGGTGGAAAAGGGGGGGTTGGCTCCTTTTGCAGAAAACTGAGTGAAAAGCTGCAACTTTATAGAAGCAGCCGGTTCTCCTCTCCTCCCATGTACTGCTGAGAGTCTCTTCCCATGCAGGGGAGACCTGAAAAAAGCAGCAAAGTGCCTGTCTTTGAAACCCAGGAGGTTAATTTAGCACAAAAGGAGAGAAAAGTCCCAGTGTGGGTGTGAAGGCTTGACCACTAAAAAATGTGGCTTTGCTCTTTGTCTTTGCAGATGACGACTCGTGGGACCTGGTCACTTGCTTCTGCATGAAGCCTTTCGCCGGGCGGCCGATGATCGAGTGTAACGAGTGCCACACCTGGATCCACCTCTCCTGCGCCAAAATCCGCAAGTCGAATGTCCCAGAGATCTACATCTGCCAGAAGTGCCGGGACTCCAAGTTTGACATTCGCCGTTCAAACCGCTCCCGGACGGGCTCGCGCAGGCGCTTTCTGGACTAAGGGGAGGCGGTGCTGGTGCGCTGCGCGGGCGGGCGAGCCGTGGGTGCTGGCTGGGAGGCCGGGAAGGGCTTCCCCAAACTGCTGCTGCTTGGGCGGGAGAGCTGCCCGGCTGGCCCGCGGCGCAGGGACGAGGAATCGCCAAGCCGCGGGCAGCTGGGGCTGGGAGAGGCCAACTGGTCAGAACTGCGGCGAGATACTGACTGTCTCGAGGGACAGACGAAGCTCTCTGAGCTCGGTGGAGTTTTGTCCGGTTACGATGACTGGGTGATGTCTGGGGAATGTACAATACCTTTGCCATGGAGGTTTTCTCATCCCATTGGAAACTGCAAATCCTCTCTGTGCTAGGAAACTCCTCCTCCAAAGAGGGAGGGGAGGAGGAGGAAGTCTATGTGAAGAGTCTGAAAAGTAAATGGCCCTGTGTTTTAAATTCAATGAAATATTATACCTGCCCATTTTTCCGTATAGATCAATCTTAGATATCCTAAGGCTCAGTAGGAGCCAGCGTCAGTGCTACCAGCCTCTGTGTGATCTGCTGCCACTTCCACAGGCTTGGGAAAATGGGAGTTCTGCAATTTGGCATTGCTCAAGTACAAATGGGACTTGGGGCTCCCTCCTGTGCCAAGGGACAGCACCCTGGCAGGAAAGAGCAGCCCTTTTTCTGGACAGGCAGCATGGGGGATCAGTGGCATCGGATTCTTCCCTACGAGGTCTCTTCACAGTGATTTTTCATGATTTTATTTGCATGATCAGCTCAAATGTGTGTATGGAGGGAGACTGCTCCGTTTCCTGTCCCTTTGTTAACCTCTACGGGGCTGTTTTAAGATGATGACTCTCCCTCTTCTCAGCCCAGAATTCAAACATGGACTCTAAAAGGGGCCAAAGTAAATGTAGAGCCTGGCAGGTCTGGCTCGGATTTGATCATGTCCATCCAAGTACAACAGCTGAGTTGATTTCTGTTTTCACTGTTTTTTGAGACCGGACTGTAACCAGAAAGCCAGAATCTTTAACCTACTGGTAGCAATGACACAGCTCAAAGCGAATGCAGGCGATGCAGCTACAGGGTGAAGTGCAATGAGGATCCATCCAGTGCGGGGTGGACAGGAAAGCAGGCCCCAGCCAGCCTCAGCCCAAGGGAAATCCCTCCAGAACCACGGTGGGGAGTCACAGCTCATACACAAGGCCAGGGAGATGCTGGTGTTGTTCCTCGATGACCAAATGCATCTCTGTGGGTCACACAAATTGGGTTGATGTTTCAAGGTATTTCTCTGAAGTTCTGCCTGGGGAATAGTGTATGCTCTGTCCAGGGAGACCAGGAGGCTCGGGGAGACACTGGCTGGTACCGCAGCCACAGCCAGACCAGCCGTGCCAGCAGGAACATGTCCTGAGTTCTGCAGTCACAGCACTGGAGCACTGCCTTGTCTGAGGACTAGCTCACTGGGAGATGTGCCCTGGTGATGACTGAGGGTCTTGCCAGGACACAGGGTCTGGTGCCCTTCTTCAGACATATGTGCTGGAGCTGCCAAAGCCTCAGGCAGCCCAGTGCCACGGGGTCCTGGGCTCCATGGCGTGGGACATGGGGGCACAGGAGGTCTGCCAGACTGGCAGGGCAACAGAGCTGCGTGACTTGCAACTTCTGTCCTACTTCTTGATAAAAATCCTATTCCACAAAGCTGCAACAGCTGACTCTGGGTTCAGAAAACCAGCTCCAGCTTCTGTGAAATCTCAAGACCGTGACCATGCTGTGCTGCCTTCAGAAGCTACATGGAACCACCAAGGAGTTTGCCAAAGACTTGCCCCTGACTGCTGCCTGACTGTCCTTTGCAGCCAGAAAAATAACCAAAGCACTCCAATGCTGCCATTTCACTCTGCAACCGGAAAGGCTTAGGAAGGTCCCAGCTGCTGCTGCACAAGGGTTGGACCCGTTCTGGAATCGGTCTCTCTGTGTTTGCAGCGTGTCCGCAGTTCAACTGGACCTCCATGGAGCGCGTTCCTGAAGCTTTTATGGGTGCACTGCCAAGTGAACTGGCTCTTTTTTACAGAGGTTCGACACTAATCAATGTGACTGACTCTTGTTCTGTTCCCTTTTCAGATTTATCCCAGTGGATGGTGTCTGACAAGTCCAGCACGTTACAATATCAGCAGAGAGAAATAAAAAAGTAACATCTCCATTCTTTTAGTTCATCACTTTCAGCCATGTATAATTATAGTTTAATTCAGAACTTTATTTTTTCATTAAAACTTTTAATGAACCATGTTTTTTTCTTAAATGTGAAATAAGTGAACAATGAGTTTGTTTTATTCCAAACTCGGGAGTCTGCTGTTATGATTTACTGGTGTGTGCGCTGTTGTGCCAGGCAGCAACAAGATCTGATGCTTCAAATGCTCTTCCCTAAACAATACACCCAGTCAGGCAGGGATAGGAAGTAAAGGCAGGTATACCCACCTTTCTCCAGAGCAGCTGCTCCTTGCCAGCCTCTGGTGAGAGATCAGGTCCCCGCAGCCTTGGAAAAAGCCCTGGGGGCTGCACTGCATCCGCCTCATGAGGACTGGCTGCTTGGCCAGACCCAAACCAACCCCTTGAGCACCCTCCAGGAGCTCTGCTAAAGGAGAGCTCCCTCCTTCCCTCCCCACTGCCAGAGGACTCCAACCCACCCAAGGGCTGCCTAAGCCTTGGTGCCACCCTGCAGCTCCGGTATGTGCCGTGACCCTGCAGGCACTGCTGCTCAGCCAGCTGCCATCAAAGCAGCCTTAACATCTTGGCAAACTGAAAAGGTGGCTCAACCTTTTGCATATGGCACCAGGTCATACTGGAAGCTAAGCTCTCGTGGCTTATAGCTTCTATTTTAATTCTGTTGGTAATTTTGAATTATACAGAGAATTGAATTAGAAGTCCCAGGGAGCTGTGGCTGTAAAATGGCAGCTGCTCACAGCAGGAATGTGATTCCACAGTGGGGCTGTTCTTACAGTCTTGGCAAAACTTGTCACTGACAGAAAACAAGGAAGAAAGTAGTAGGTGGGCTGGAAAGACTGACCCAGCAACTGGCTCCCAGGGATGCTCTCCTGGGAGTATTCTGCCATGTCCTAGTCCCTGCAGGCTGGCTCTCACTCCTGACCATACACCTCACACAGTGAAAAGACACGAAAAGGGAACTTCTGGTAGAGATTTCTGCCCAGTCCCTCAAGTCTCACCCAGCAATGACCAGCAGCAGTCAATGAGCTGGATGGAATGGAGGGTGCTATTATGTTTACAAAACCTGCAACCCTTGCTTTCCAGGGGTTTATTTTCAGGAGTCTCCTACAGATGCAAAGGGAATGGGAGCTGCTTTTCAGCTGAATATAATTTATTGCACATTTTACATTTAATTTCAGATCAACAGAACACTGGTTGTAAGTGAAATAAAGCCCTGCACCAGGAGCTGGTCACAAATGAAGAGTTTTGGTTTTAATAAAAACAAATGAACACCCCTTCACAACATGAACTTGTTTTTTAGAGAAGGGAGCATCTCCTTCAGACTGGCTCAAACAAGTCTACTTTTGGAAATCTAGTTCTAGGCTTCTAGGCAAGATAAATCCCAAGAATTTATGCCATAACTGCTGCTTTTCAGAAAGGGCAGCTGAGTGTTACATTTTCAGCTCTTTATCCATTTGGCCTCTCTCCTCACTTTGGTCTGGTTTACTTACATGAACTACGTTTGTTTTACCTAGAAATAAATTAGATGGGAAGAGATAATTGCAGCATCAGAATCAAATGAAATGAATTGCTGTCCTTCTCCTCACTAGCTCTCCTATTTTTCCAAAAACCTTGATGATACATGGATGTGGATGGCAGAAGAATTAGTAAGAGTATGATACCCCATGTCCTTGTCTGGAATAGCAGTGTTGGAAATAAGCAGCTGGACAGATTGGTGCTGAAGAGGTCAATGTTACTACAAAAGGCAAAGACCTTCATACTTAACAAAAGTATGTGGTTAACAAGTGCATTTCAAACACAGATTTGAGATGGAAACTCTCTCTGACCTCTTTCCAACAAAAAGGCTTTGCACAGGGGACTTCCAGGAGGTGGCCCGAGAACTGAAATTCCCCTCAGGAGCAGGAAAAGGTGTGTTAACTGCCCCAGGAAGTATGTGGAGAAGTGAGAACAACAGGTTTTCATCCCTGCTCAGTGCCAGGAGGTACGTGTGAGTGCACGAAGGGGCCGTGGCCAGCTGGCAGGAGGGCACCTGCTCAGCCCTCTGGGCAGAAAGCACTGTGCACACAGAGTCACGCTGCTTTATTGAGTACCAAGCCACAATATTGCCTTGAAGCTGCCTGGAGCAGCAGGGTCTCTCCTTTTGTCCCTAACAGAATCAGCAGGACACCACCGGCTATATGGACAGTAAAAATAAAAGTGTCTCTGTTCAAACTTGCAGCGTCCAGGGGAGGTTGTGCAGTTTCCATTGACCCAGGTCCCGTGGCAGACACGAGCTCCCAGATTAGCCATCAGCATCAATCCTGTGAGCTGTCAGGGAGAACAAGGAATGGACACATGCTAGAACCCACCACCGTACCAGGAACAGGCAGGAGCATTTCTGGCTGCTAATTAAACATGACTCATATACACCTCCCAAGGCACTTCTGGAAGCTCTGTCAGTTGGATGTGCTGCTCACACTGGCCAGGGAGCTGGTCTAGAGCAAACAGAGGTCTGTGCCTTTGATCCAACCTGCCAGACCCACAGAGGTGACAGTAAAACTTGTCACGAGGTTTCACAGAGTTATTCCAGCAGGGAAGATGTTTTGGCAAGTAAGACAATGGGGACAAAGAAGAAATCTGGCTCAGGCCTCCAACACGCCTCCATACATTCAATTCAGTCCCCATGCTACTCACATTGCTTTGGTATCCTAAGGGCCTCGTTGTCAGCTGACATCACTTGGTGCAGAACTCCTCGGAACTGATAAAGCACTTTCAAACTCTTCTCCTCACCCACGCAGGGGTCGTAGAAGCCTGGCAGCCCAGCCTTCAACCAGAAAAGGACAAACTGAGCATCAGGGAATGGACTTTCACAGTTCTTCAGCTGGCCAGAAACATCTATTAGTGCCAAGACAAGTGTCATTAAAAAAAGTCTTGCTGCCAGAAAGGTGAGATGCTGAGGAATCACCTCTGCAAGTTTTGAATACATAAAAGTAAACCAGGGCGTTGGGAAGTTTCTGGTGTACAGCCCCAGGGTCTGCAGACACCAAGATGCTGTTTCTTTGGCACTGGAAATGCCCAGAGAAACAGAAGTTCCTGGACGTTCCTAACACTTGGTATGTAAATGGCTTCTGTGAATTGATCCAGAGTCACTGGAGAGATCCCCTGGCAGGACACCACATGGTTCAACTGAAATTCTGGGTCACACATTTGAGTCATGGAGTCTGGGCTTTGACAGAACAGCTTTGACAGAACGTACCTTGGAGGCCTCAGTAAGGATGAGTTTAGAGTCCTTCACCAAGCACTGCAGGGGCACAGTCACATCTATTACCTTCACCTTCTCATTCTTCCTGCTGTTGTCATTAACAAACTTCCCATACCAGGCATTCACTATAATCAGACCTGCATGTCCCAGGAAATCACAGCTGTGATGAAAGGCTTCCTGCCATGGCTGGACAGACACTGACAAAAAGACCATCCCAGCATTTTCTCTTGCTTTCACCAAGATTTAATTCTCCTGGCCTGGACCCACTTTTCTCAAGCCAGAACAACATTTCTACTTGGTTGTTTGTTAGCAACCTTCAGCACTAGGATAGAGTGACGGGACTTCGGTGCCACACTGATGTGACAATCTGAGTGGATGTCAGTTCACTTTGGAACACTCTGTGGAAAACTGGTAGTAATCATCAGAGATCAGATTGCCACTACAATCCATGAACAATGAAATGGGATTGATCCCATGTGAGGGAGAAATCAGTGAAAGCTAAACTTGAGACTACAACTTTTGCACATATTTATACACACACTTCTCTTTGGTGGAGAGGTAAATCCAGACTGATGTCTTCAGTCTCTTGATCCACCTCACAGCATGTCCCAAAATAATATTCTGTGATCCCTCCTAAGCTCAGGCACCAGGAGCTGAATCATAATGGGACTCCCCTACTCTGTGCTCAGCAGCAACTACACTGCGCTTCATCAGGAGTGGGAATGAAGAAACAACACCTTTGTATTGTTTCTTCTTCTCTTCAAATTTATATAAAAAAGTAAATGATATCATAATCTTTACCCATTCTGGCTTCCTCTGCTTCAATTATCCTTCGGACAGACTCCTGCATCAACCGGACCTGTCACAACACAAGTGGCAGAGCAGAAATCACGCAGGGTCAGACACTGTGGCCAAAAGAGAACAGCCCAGAGGGAAAAGAGCTGCCTTTCACTAAGGGAGACCAAGTTACAAGAAAGACTCACCGCAGCTTCAGCCTCCTGCTTCTTCTGCAGGATGTCACTGGCTGTGTTCTCCCGCTGCTTCTCCAGCTCTCTGGCAGAAGGAAGGCAACACCACATCAGGAATACACAGTAGATGGGATTCAGCCACAAACTGGCAGGTGTCCGCCTACTCATCCCCCCCAGTTAAAGTGACCCACAACCTCACACAAAAGAGCCCTAGTGAGACTTCCTCGCTCTGAATGTGCAGGACAGCCTGGCAGTCTCACCTCTCCTTCTGTGCCCTGAGGTAGGGTTTGATGACCAGCCTGTGCATGGCAAAGTAGATGACAAGAGGTCCCACGGTGGCATAGAACACGGCGCTGGGAAGCAGCTGATCTGTTAGGTGGACAGGGAAGAAGTAGGTCTGGCTAGCCCTATTCAGCCTGCAACAAAAAAGAGCAGAGGGACAGGTAAGAGGAAAAGCAGAGTTGAATGTGCTTGATGAAACACACTTCGCAGCAGCACATGCTGCTGAACCAAAGGGAGATGAACAATGAGCTCAAGAAGTTAAAACTCCAATAAACTGAAAAAGCCAATGGTAAGAAAGACAGCTGACACCAGCCAGAGCCAGATTTCAATGAAGCAAACATCTCTCATGATAGTACCTGACCATTGTACAGTGTTTTTTTTGATCTTAGGAGAACAGGAGAATAGGAAATTTGGTCATTGATTTCCCCAAAAAAGGGTGAAAAAGAAAATGCTTCTAGAGAAGGCCTGTGTTCACAGCACTGGCATGGGCCTTCAGGACAGGTGCATATTAGTATTTTTCTGATGCTTATAACAATATTTATTTTAGAAAACATGAGTTTCCCGAGTTCTTCAGGCCCTTCAGTAGTTTGGCATCCCACCTGCCACTGGACATCCCACCACAGCACAAGGACCCTTAATGAGCTCTGCCCCTCCGTGAACTGCACCTTGTTAGTGGTACAATCACTGCATTAGGGAATGGTAATTCCCTAATTCAAGCATACACTTGTGTACAGTGTTATACAAATAGAATCCAGCTCTAAGTCCAGCTCTACCAACAGTATTTTCAGAAATCTTCCAGCACTTACCAGAATGCTCCAAACCTCACTTTAAGCTGTATTTCAGAATATTCTGATGCACACACAGAGGTGGTTCAGGTTGTAACACCAGCAGAAGGCACCCACTGCTTACCATGGGCACTGCTTGCGTTAGAGGTGAGGGCAGCTGCACCCTCTCCCAGTGATGTATCACTACACCTGTATTGCCCTGGGACCGGAACCTTCTCACTTGAATATTGGAAATAGAATCATGGAAGTTATGGTCAGCCTCTGCAGTCTAGAGTTGCAGTCTTGAACTTACTTGATTTTCAAGGACACTCCCTGGGGAACACCAACACTGACGGTGGCTCCTAAAACGCTGTGCCTGGAAATCTTCCTCTCTGCTCCATATTCCACTACGGTCCCAAAGAAACCTGCCCTGGAACAACAGAACCAAAAACTGGTAAGACAGGGAAGACTTCTTCTCTTTACTGAATCCTGTAATTCCCCAACAAGTAAAGCATGGAAATACATCTGCATGCAGCAGATGTTGCCCTCTGGAAGATTCACTGTGTATCTCCAAGGTGAGAATAGCCCTTCCAGCTTGCTTGGTAGTAAAAAGACTACAAGAACTTCTGGCTTTCTTACTGGAGATGATATAGACATATCACACACAAGTATTTTAAGTTCCACATAACCAACCCACCAAGACATTCACTTCAGCCTTTACCAGATTTAAAGAATGAAAAGCAGATTCCCAAAGGCCACAGAAACATTTGGTTTGTGGAACCTGGAGGCCTACAGCAGCAGAAGAGGACAGATTCCTCAGGTTGTGAATAATGTGAACTTCCTCTTGAGCACTTACTTGAGAGAACCTTTCACTCGTGTTTGATCCTCATCCTGAAACTTATGCTGGTAACTGACCATCATGAAAGAATGGGGGATTCCCAGCTGAAACACAAGAGGCACAAATGTATGAAACCATGTCCTTGGCCACTGCTGAACTCTCCCCCCAATTCCCTTTCTCATCCTTGAAGCGGCACAGAACGCAGAGCAGTGCTTGACACAACCTCTGCAGCCTGTTACCTATGCTGGGTGTAACATGGGAGAGTACCAACTGTTCCCTTAACCTCTAGTCCCAAGCCAGACTACTGCCAAGACAGGAAGGTGAGATCCCTCTCTCCCCGGGGCAGGACTGCTGTCCCTATGGCAGCCGCAGGGCTCTCACCTGCAGTGCCACGGTGAAGTGGCTGGTTTTGGTGTCCCGGACAATGCTGGTGTTCATGGCTGACTGGATGCCCCACCGCCACTGCAAGTAGCCCATCGTGTTCTTGTCAAGGTTGCGGGCCAGGACTGTGGTGAGGCCGGGGCGGACCCCGCGGGACGAGAACTGCAGGGCACAGTTTGTGGTGATGAAACTATGGAAGTGAGGAAAGACTCATCAGTGCTAAAACACAGGCTCTCAGGTGGCCTCAAATTTCTTCTTGCTCAGGAACTTTGCTTGAATGCCTAGAGACCATCCTGCAAGGAGTGCGACACCCGAGGCTTTCAGGGAAAAGTCAAAACTAATTCAGACTGCCCTGACCACAGCAGTGCCCAGGAGAGCAGGTCGTGCCCTGGTTACTGCCTGTGCCCAGGCAGCTGCTGCTCCCGACCTTCCCTCCTGCCCTGCACAGGTAACAGCCTGGTCTCTGCAGTGCAGCACACTCAGCTGCTGGCACAGAGCAGCCCTGCTATTTAGTAACCCTCAAGCATCAGCTCCAAAAAGCAGCACTAAAGCTCTCCACAGGGAACAAGAATCCTGTACAAGCTCTGAGGAATGCTGTATTTACTAAATTAGAAAATACAAATGAAGGAGGCTACACTGGCTCCTACAGTGCTCTGGCATGTGACTTCAATCACAGCCCTTACCTTGTATTCTCGTTTGCAACTTAAGACTTCTATTAATTTGTGAACAGACACCTCAGTAGTGGCAAATTTGGTATTATTTCCCAAAAATACAACACATCATCTCCTGTTTTGCTGTCAGAAACTCCCTCTCACACATGGAAGCCTCAGAAGAGCTTCCCAGAGCTTTTGTTCTGCTCCCAGAGCCAACTTCTGTTGCTCTGATTGGAGATCATACCTCAAGTATCATGAATCATGAGAACATCAACTACAAATCTAAGGATGTGGAGCACAGACCCTCCTTAAACTGGAAGTATGAAAATGGAGAGCACCAAAACCCAGCTATGGTACAAGTCTTTTGACAATACAAGTATGACCTTAAATCTAAAGAGGAAATATCTTATTTTGCAGGATAGAAAACAAACCCAGAATTAGTGTGGAAGAGAATTCAAGTCATTTACTTCCTTAGTGTGAAATATTAACCATTAGACCATTTTTCTAATATTTACCATCTTGGTGTAAGATTACGGAATATCTTCAGCCCAAAGAGAGGTCCATGAAGGTCTCCTGCTCCAAACTCCAACTGTTCAAATGCACAATGCCAGAGTGTTAGAAGAAAACAACCTTTACAACAGTGACAATGTATGTCACAAGTGTCATTTTTATCACAGACGTTTTACACATCTGAGTAACATTTACCACCTCTTTCAGCACTCTCCCTTTCCTGCAGCTTTTCCCCCACAACTCCTTCCCTTGAGAGAAAAGCAGTTTTGGAAGCAAAGGCAAACTATCATGCTGCCTAAGGTGCCTGCTCACAGCACTGGAAGGTACCTCAGAGCTTTCAGACAGAGAAATTACAAAGGCTGGAGACATCAGGTAACAATTCTGTCTGCACAAGTGAAGTCCAAATTGCATAGCCAAATGGAGAGGGGAAAAAAATAAGAAAACCCAAGGTTTGGCCTTTTTCTCAAATTCCTTTAAGAATTCCTTTTTCTACACTCTACAGAATGTAGCAAATGAGAGACGAACCACAGCCAAAGTTCCCCCCCCCCAAAATAAACACTGGGTAACAGACTGAATATAAAACTGCACAACAGGTGTACTCTTACCTCTCCCCATCCCTTGGCAGATGTCACTCGTCTCAGAGCAAGGTTAATTGATCCCCCTCCATTCCCATTCTGGGTGGAAAGGTTACCAGACAGTATTGCTGTGTCCGTGGCAGTCAGGGGTGCCTGAAAAACGAATATATTGTGAGCAGTAACTCTGGTCCAGTTCACACAATTAGTGCATGTTCTACAGGGACGTAATCACAACTGCAGAGTGTATGTGGTTTTGTAGTCAAATACCAAGTATGGCAAAAAGTGAGATAATTCTTACAGCACCAGACACTTGTGACACCTGTAATGTACCTCTTGAAGTCCTGACCCTGAGCTACAAATTTAGTTGCAGACTAAATTTCTACAACTCTCTGGGGAGAGGAAACAATTCCCATTCTCTTCCTTACCCACATCCTCAAAAATGGGTGCCATTCGTCTTCATCCACTGAACATGCCCTATTCAGTCAGAACTGGATACTGAGCATCCCCACTGGCAGGAGGGCAGGACCACTGCAGCCCACAAACGAGTCTCCTGAAAGCTGCAGGGCAAACCCACCATCCTGCTGGCCCTGAGCTGCCCTTCCCCACCTGTGCTGGCCACCGTGTCCCCCCCAGATCCCGGTGAGAACCCCCGAGCAGCGTGTTCTGTGCCTCATTTGCTCAGGCCCTGCTCACACATCTGTGTCCGCCCTCCTCACCTCGATGGACTGGGATATGTGCATTTTGTTTATCTCAATCTGGGGAAAGCTGCTCCCAGGCACATCTTCGTATTCCTCGTCATAACGATCAAAGAGGTCGGTGGCGTCTATTCCCACACTAATTGTTCCCTGAGGGATGACAAGTGAAACAAGCACTCAGCATTAGCAAACATCCAACACACACAGGACAAGTGGCTAAAGCATTCATTCCTGTATATGACCACATTTTTGTGCACTTTTCCCTTTTTCTGCAATTACCTTTTCCACTCTAAAATTAATTTCCTAATACGCAAGACAAACAAATGTCAGGGATTACAATATTCCAAAACAGCAATATAAATCATCAGACTGGAGAAAGGGCAGCTTTTCAGCATGAACTCAACTTGTAATCCTGAGCTCATTTTTCTATTGTGACATATTATAGAAGCAGGTAGAACACCTTTACAGAGCAGGTTTCTTCTTCCCCCACAACTGAATCTGCTATGTCAGTATTTGAAAGTTAAGATAATATATTTCAGAAATTGATTTTCTTCAATGGAACTTAGCCAGAAAGCCTCTATGTGCTTCTTCTTATGAGTTATCTAAACTAATTTACTTCTAACCTGCATCATTCACTTGCAATTGACCTCATTAGTCAAAATTTTTGTTTTCTTTTTCTAGTTTATATCTTATCATCAGAAGAAAAGCTTGACAAAGACAAACTTTTAGTAAATGGTAGATATTTTCTTTCTCATAGAAAGACCACCTTGCTGTACTTGGCTTACTGGTGCCATGATGCTGCATGGATCCACATGCATTTCTGGGATTCATTGCACCTCATTTCTCTAAAACATACTCAAAATCTTAGGACTTCCTTTTTCACACCTGCGAATTGTACAGTAAATATCCCTCCCAAGGAAAAAAGTAAAACACCTGAACCTAACCATGAAAATCCACGGGACCCGTTCAGAGGAAAGGAGCCTCTCCCTGTTCCCTCTCTGGCTCCCCAGCTGACCTCCTACTCCCCTGCCTTTCCCTGAGGTGAACGGTGGACCCTGGGCAGACCCTCCACCTCCCACTAAGCAGGTGAAGTCACCCCAGAGGTCTGTGGATCCTGGCAAGGAAACTGGTTCAGGTGCAAGCACAGGAAAAGCAGCAGATGGTAAAGTTAAAAATATTCCCAGAGAATGAGAGCACCCCTATGCCACCGGATAATAGAGGGGACTGCTGCTGCTCCCAGCTCCCATCAGCCACCTGCTCTGACCATGGGAAATGAGGAGCTCTCCCCAAAGGAAGAGTGGCAGGAGGGAGCTGTAAGGCCTGCTCAGAAGCCAGCGCTGCACAGCGCAGCAGCTCCCGGGGCAGGGAGTGGGAGCAGCTCTACGGAACCATCGGAGCCGGGATCAGCTTTTACAATCACCTTCATCTGCCACCCTGTGAACAGGAAACAGACTTCTGGAATTCACAGATGTGCCAGAGGAGAATATAGTCCCTCCTTTTTCCTTATGAATTTACCTTCAGGAAGGTGACACCTGGAAGCTGTGCCAGGCTATGCCTTGAGGGGTCTGCATTCCTTAGATGTTGACCTTCCACAGCAGGAAAATAAGGGGATTTAATTTCTCCTAACATGAAATGGTTCTTCTCAAACCAAGCAATGAACTTTTCAACCCTTCTGCATGTCTTTGAAAGCAAAAACAAAGCTCTAAAAGCAAATAGGAGACTCAATTCCAACCCTCCAAATTGCCTACATCTGGTTATTGTTCAACATTTCTGGTTAAAACGCTTTATTTTTGTGGAACTGTTTTATAGAACTGACAAAATGTTGGAAATTTTAAAATAACTTGCGCTCGTGTATGAAATGATCACAGCTGCGCTCCCCAATTCCACGGGAACACTGCCTGGAGAGACATTTCCATCGGCTGCCAACCAGCAATTGCTGTAAACACCCAGATGGCTAATTTTATCCCAGGACACAGGCCGAGGCTCACAGCACAGCTCACAGCCACGGCGAGCGCCCAGGGAAAATGTCACATTCCTGAAGCACGGAGCAGCATCAGTGGAGATAACCATGTCCCTCTCTGAGAACATCTCTCTGACCCCGCTCACCCGCACCTCCAGCAGGGACAGTTTGCCTTGACTGGTCTGTGGCACCCAGAACCCCCTTCCTGTGAGAATAATGCTGTCAACAGATACTCACACAACATCTTATGCTGTTTAACCTTCCAGTAAAAACCAGTTCTTAGTGTCTGTGCACTACCCACAGCCTGGGGATCTCTTTCATACAGGTCCTCACCTAGGCTCAGCATACCCTGCACAGTGGTGATAATTTACGGATCCACTCTTGTGAGCAGGGTTAAGTCTTTGCTTACCTTTGGATTAGTTCGCTGCTGCAGCCTCCTCTCTTCCCTCTCTCTCTGCAAACGCTCAAATTCTTCCCTGATTTCAGCTGCAGTTCTCTTTCGTTCCACAACCTGCTCAAAAAGAAATGAGAACCAAAGGATCACCAGACTGAGGCTGTTCAGGGCATTGCAGTGCTGGGGGGATGGAGGCCCACGAACCTGGGACGCACTAACACGCTGCCCCAGCTGCTGAAAGCCACTCTGCACCAATTTCAATAGTCAGAGTTTGGAAGGAAGCACCTGGGCCAAATCAAATGGTAGGCATGAGAGAAAACTCCATGCTTTGAGAGAAGGGAACATGGTCTTGTTATTTCCATTCCCTTGACAAAACTAGGGCAAAGAGCTTTCCTACCACAAGCACTAGACACTGCAGTGCTGTTATCCTCAGCGATCCATTAACTGCTCTACCAGGTGTGGACACAAAAATGAAAGCAACTGAAACGCTCTGGCCTGAAGTGAACTGATTCAGTGAGAGCTCTGTGATTTTAGGCTATGCTATTTCACAGCTGCTTACCTGACATGGCTCAGGGAATGAGGATTTTAGGGGTTTGGTATGGATAGAAAGAGTATTGGATTTGGATTTTCAGAATTAGACCAAGTCTGCGAAAAGCAGTTCAGAAATGTCTGTTACACACTGCCACTGCACCACATTTCTGGCAACTCACTCCAAACTTGACCTCGGTGCTGACCTGACCCAATACCATAGGATTCTGCTGCAAGCAGCATAGTGCAATCAACTAGGGCTGGCAGAGGCCAGCAAGGGACTCAATGGCAGGACAGCCACAAATGAACAAGTTCTCTTCCAAAGCCCATAAAACCCAACCAAAACCAAACCAAACCAAAAATGCCAAAAAAACCCCCCAACCAATCCCAAAAAGCCCAGGAAGAAAAAGTAATTTCAAACTCAGAAGCTAGTTGAGAAGATGTTTTGGATGAAAAAACAAGTTTCGGATGAAAGAGATGGGACTAGATGGACAATGACGACACATTCACCTCAGACAAAGATGTTGCCTGTCACAGTAATATCCTGACAGGGAACTCTGAATGTCAGGTTTATGGTTCTCTTTTTAAGTGCAAAACCCAAGTGTTCTTCGAAAATCCATCACGGTGTTTCAATAGGGACAGAGACAGAAATAACTAACCAAGGATGCCTTCAGACCAACAGGCATTTAATACCAGCCAGGTGTCAGTGCAGCTGGTAGAACAACAATGGCAGATAAAGGTGGGTTTAGTCAAGGCCACTGGCCACAAGGTGCTCAATTTCTCTCACCTCCCAGCCTTCCATCTCCAGTCCTCTCCTCCCATATATGTCATAGATGGCTCTGGTCTGTGGATCACTAAGCACTGCAAATTAAAACCAAAAGAGAGGAGAGAACTCAGTTTTCAGTCTTCTCCTCGGATTTCAGACCAAGACACTTGCATTATTTGGAATTCAAGCACAGCTCCTGGAAATGTCTTGTTCTACAGTAGTACATTAACCCCTTTGATGCTTCCATGTGCTATATTGACAGGACACACTGACTTTTTCCCCCAAAAAACTCAATTTTTTTTTCATTTTTCTTATTTCTAAAACAAAAAAATGGAAAGAACACAAGAGACATGCAGCCTAAGTGAATGTGCAGTGCAGTTTCTAACACTGCTTTCTTTGACTGAACCATGACATGAGCCCTCTAACAACCATGGGGATTATGAGCAATTTAGCCAGAGCAGTCCCAGGGCCCTTCCTGAGCAGGAATACCACCCACCTCTGTCTGGCTTTCAAAGCTCTGCGGTGCTTCCCCTGATCTTCCCTGTCCACTGATCCTTTCCCTCCCAGTCCAAATGTGTGGGACATACCAAGTGCCAATGAAGCAACTTCCACAAGGCAGTTCATGCCTTGCCAAACATAAACTACAAGGCAATGGCAAAGGTACATGTAAAATCTGAACCTCCCAAAACGTCACCCAGCTCAATGGAGAACACAAAATGCACCAGGAGACTGCAGAACAGTTACTTTGGAAAAAGATTGTGTACAGAATTAGGAAGAATCTTTAAAAGGTAAGGCACATTTAAATGCATAATCTCCTATACCACACCCTTCTGTAAAAAAAATAAAAGATCATCAGTATTTTCCCCCCAGGGTTCCAAGATCAGCTTTATCATGATCACGTATCTCTTTTGACTGTGGGGGAACTGATGTGTCCTCAGGGAGCTGGGGCGCTTACACCGGTAACTGAGCTTTGGTCTGAACTACTGGAAGATTATTGGACTTGCTAAATGTCACAGGCAGATACTGCTTTTTATGAATTCTGGTAAAATGAATCTTTTGTTGTGTGATATTAAGAGATGGAAGAGGAGGGAGAGAAAATAGGCAGGAGGTGAAGTGGTTTATTTCTAAGAAGTCAAAAAATTCGGCTTGCAAAATTGATACTACACTCACATTTGGTATGAAACAAGCACCGATTTCCTTTCCATGTTCATTGCAAGGCACAGCCAAGCAGAGCCACAAAATTCAAAGGGACTCTTATATAAGGCCACCCACCACACTACAATGACATTATTGAAGCATCACCTGTTTTTGTTCCCCACACCATCAAGGTCAGACCTTCCCTGCTCTCCTAGTGAAAGCTTCCACATGTCCTAAAGCCTAACTAGGGACAATGGGAAAGACTCTACCTGTCTAGAAGGAGCAAATCAGTCAAAACCAGGAGAGTAAAAAAAAAAAAAGCTCATATTTGAGGTCGAATGGAGGAATGTTTGTTCATCCTTTTGCCTTAGTTTCTCTTTAGGCTCCAGGACTGGGCACCCAGATGGGTGCACTTCATTTATAACATGGATGGCTCCTACCAGCTTCCAATCTATCTGCACTCCAGGTGCAATTTGCACACCAGGGTGTAAGTAAATTTCAGCTTAATTCAGACTATTTTAAAAGGGCTTTGGTATGAGAGAAAAACTCTGACTGCTATGAATCAGTTGTCTCTATCTCAGTCTGAGCATATGGAAGACCTTGCTGGAAAACAATGGAGACTGCAGTCAGGTGACATGGAACAGAACCTTGGGGTGCAGCAGTTCATCAGTACAATATGAAACTGTCTTTCTGTTTGAAGCTTTTCAGTCTTCATTCTCCTCTGGAAGAGGCATTCAGAAGTAAGAGAAGCGATGAGAAGATCATTTACAACACGCAGCAAGTAAGACAGAGACTCCACATCTCATTCCCTGCAGCATTTATACGGCATTTCTCCTCTGACTTACGGGACGGAAGCAGGAAACAGCATCGCTAAGTATCAGCAAACTTAATTATTACTTTGTAATAATAAATAGCTTCAAAAAGCACGAAGACACAGCTCTCCTAGAAACCCCATGAAAACAGTTTCTGCAAAGCTCAGCCTCCCCCTGACCTTCATACGCTTGGTGGACAAGGTTGAAGAGCTGCTCGGCCTGTGTTTTGAGCTCGGGGTCGCGGTGCTTGTCGGGGTGGTACAGCATGCACAGCCGGCGGTACGCGGCCTTCAGCTCCTCCTGGGAGGCCTGTGGAAAGCACCAAAAATGAACTCAGGTACAACCAATGCCACTTCCACAAGGCCACTCCCAAGATCAGCCCTGAAAGGGAAGTCCATCAGCTGTTACGTGACACTAGTTTGGCCAAATCAGGAATGGACTATTGTTTCATTATATAAGTTAATAAAATGTTCAATTATCACACCAGGATTATCCACACTATCTGTAGCAGAACAAGTGACCTCGACAACAAATTCTACTCATATTTCAATCTTAATCCCCAAGGAGACACTTTAACTACCCAAAACCAGCGACTTTCCACATGTAAATCCACAGTTTTACACTCATCCCAGCATGCCACAGTCCCCAGCACCCTGCTGAGCTCCCCAGCATCCCCCTGTGCTCCCCAACACCCCGTCCTGCTCCCCAGCAGGGTCTGTGTTGTGCTGCAAGGGAGGAAAGTGTATCACCTGCCCACAAAGCCACAGACACATAACCGTGAGAACACTGTGTCACCAAATGCATCAAGAATGAACCTGCCCTGTCCTTTACCACAATCACTCTGGGACCTCAGATAGCACCTGGCCTCATTCCAAGGACATGGATGGCTCTTTCAGAAACAATGGAGTAACCCCCCCACTTCCTTCATTATCATCTCTCAGGAGACAACCTCCCAGGGATGCTATTTTTGGACTCCAGTGAGTCCTGGTAACCTCTCCTCTCTCACCTCATGCTGCTACAACCCCTGCACTGCAGCCCCCGTCCATTCCTTGGAGATTGCTTAATGCCTACTTTTTAGAAGTGCAGTTGCCAAAATCAGCCACAACTTCCCCCCAGCAGAGCTTCACAGAGCTACCAATCGTCCAGTTCCCAAAATGCCCAGGCACGAACCAGTTCCTGGGCACAGGGGGCATTCCTGGAGGAACATGCAGAGGAAAATAATCAAAACCTGACAGTCTTGGCTGTCCCTGGGGGCTGCCACAACCAGGACTCAGGACAGCCAGTGGGGGGGGGCACCCAGAGAGGGACATCAACAATGCGATTTACAGACACAAATTCCATTTACTCTTAACGGTCTTCAGGGAACAAAGATGGCACAGTTTCCAAGCTTTCACTGGGGAAATAAAGGCCTTAAAAGGTCATTTCTTAAAGTAACATCTTTCTTCCCCCCACTTGTGACAAGGAGGGTTTTCATCACAGAAATGCCACTCACCAGTGTATCAACACCAGGAATCCACCTGGATTTGAGGACAACTCAGAATAAATCTTTTCTCTGTATGTTTGTCCTATTTCACATTAATGTTTTGAAATTGTATAGCTAAAGAGTAGCTGCCAAATTTGCTGGTCCCTAGACAGTAGATTAGCTTTTTTCTTTTTACTACTGTGTGCTTTCTCGGATATCAAATTTAAACTCGACTGGGAAGGGAGGGGAACATATAGGCCCAAAATGGCATTTTTAAATCAAATTAATGATAAAGGGTTTAATGTGCTATTGATTACATCACAGAAATGAGCAGGTTCATTTTTCATAAATGCCATGTTCAATAAAATGTTAGATTGGGCATTTCATCATCACTGATGCTCGGATCATTGGTTCAATATTCCATGAGCAACAGCCTCTTTGAAACTGCTAAAGAAACCCTGACAACATTTCAGATTGCCAGGAAATACCTAAGTCACTAATAATTGTATGTTAGTTACATTTTTATTACCGAGACTCTGGGCAAAATTAAAAGGCCTCCCATCTCCCTATTTGGGGTTTAAACAGCCTCATTTGATGTCTCAAACACAGCATAATGTTTTTAGCAGAGTAACATCTCTAAAAGATGATCTATTCACAACCACCCCCCCCCACCATCTTCACTTGCAGGCTCCCATCCCTCTGTGGGATCCCAGCTCAGCTGCCACATCACCCTGTGGCTCAGCACACAGACATGCTGTTCACTGCATTCCACTACAGGGCAGTACTGCTGGCGTTAATTAGCAAGGGGCAATTAACAAAGCACCCACTCCTCTCTGTTGGAATTATTCCCTTGCATACCCCTTTAACTCAGCTGCAGCTCCCTGCTGTACCAAACCCGAGTGTCTTGCTCTGGAAGCCTGCCTAAGTTAAGCATTAAACCCTCCCCCAGTAGTCGCAACCCTTGTTCGGTTCCCACCTCCGTTTTAACCTCTGCACGCGGCTCTTTGGAAGGGGGAATTACGAAAGCTCCCAAGGGAGGTACAAGCATGGCCCCACCAGCTTTGAACCAGACCAGTGGTCTCAAGTTGCACAGAAACTTTTCTAAAAGGAGCCCAGCATCAGGGAGTTCTGCAAACAGCTCAACCGTCACACACTCTTCCTTCAGCAATGTGGCAGATTCCCACAGATGAGGCACAGGAGACTGTCCCTGCAGCCCAGGGACTGACAGCAGTCCCAAAGGGAATTCTTCGAAGCTATCAGGCTGAATCATTTCCAAGTCTGGACCTCCTACTGCACTTTGTCCGACTCCAATGGCAACATCCAGGACAACGGGCATGAAAAGTGAGGTCTGTTTACACATACACACACACACACATTGCTGTTGCATTTGCTGAAACAAACTACGGCATAGCTCCTATATTCCGATACTTGGAGACCTGCCTAATTGTTACTATAAAAAATAGTTGCCTCCCATAAAGTTCAGAACTGATCCAAAATCGCACCAAATAATAGCCATCTATTCTTAAAAGTGAAATCAAGGACTCTCGATCCTTCCTTTATGGCGGGACAGGTGTTTCGCAAAAATTCCGGTGTTTCCGAATCGGAAACCCTCGGGAAGTGCGGCCGAGGGGCGGGTGTGCCCCGCGCGCGGAGCTGCTCGGGAGCGCCCAGACCGCCGCGATTCGGAACGAAACGCGCATTTCTCGGCCTCAGCCGCCGTTCGCCCGCCGCACACAACCGGGAGCCCCGTGGCCCGACCCGAGCTCTGCCGTCCCGCCGCCAGCAGCGGCCTGGGCTGAGGGCGCGCCTCAGGGGCACCGCTCCCGCCGCGGTGGGCAGGGGCGTCTCAGCCCGCCCAGCCCCGGCCCCGGCCCCGGCCCCGGCCCCGGCCCCGGCCCCGGCCCCGCGGCCGCACCTCGCGGCGCACGTTGAGCAGCCCATAGTAGTCCTGGTTGTCCGGCGCCTCCTCGCCCAAGGCCGCCGCCATCGTCCCGACCTCTCACCCCGCGCTGCCGCTGCAGCGCCCCCCCGCGGCCCGGCGGCCCCAGCGCACGCGCACGCCTGCGGGCACCGCCCCCCCCGGCGCTCGCGCGGCCCAGGCGTGTGCGCGTGCGCAGCGCGGGAGCCGGGAGGCGGCGGAGGCGGAGGAGAAGCAGGAGAAGCGGCGGCGGCGGCGGCGGCGAGGGGTGAGTGAGTGAGGGAGCGGGAGAGAGAGAGACTGAGGGAGAGCGCGGACTGGGCCGTACCGGGGCACCGGCCGCTCCACCGCACTCCGCTCCGGCCGCATTCCCCCTCCCGGCGCCCTGGCGCGTCCTTCCCGCCGAGGTCTCTCCGCGGCCGAGCGGCGGCTGTGGCGGAGCCGCCACACGGAGGCTTGGCCTCCGTCCGCCCCGCTCCCGGGCAAGACGCCCTGCGCCAGATGCGGTGCGTGCCCGGTGCCGCAGGGCCCTCGGGACCTGCCCAAAGAGCCGTCGCCCACCCAGGTCATTGACGGGACCTGAAGGGGGACGGTGTCCCGAGGCCTCTTGCCGCCGTAGCAAGAAGGCGGTTTCCAAACCCTGCTGTGACCACCGAGCCGCTGTTCCGTGACCGACTCCCGGCTCCGGCGGGGCCGGCGGAGGGCAGAGGGAAGCCCGGCAGCCCGGTCCGGCGCAGGGTCGCGGGGCAGGTCTGAGCTCAGCGGTGTCGGACCCGCAGGCGCAGCACGGCCGGCAGGGACACACCGAGGGCAGAACGTGCGCTCGTTTGTCACCAGATCGGGAGCAGTTTTCCTTGGATCAGTAGAGCTGCTTTGGCTTTTGGAGTAGAGAACAAGGGCCTGGAGTTCACGCTGTGCTGCCCTCCCTGATGGTGGGTTAACCCAGCTCTGAGTGCCGAAATTGAAGGAAATGCCTCCAAAATGTGCAGAGCACAGAGCTTTTAGCAGAAGGGCTGCCCAGTTGGTGTGTTAACCTGAGTGCTGGCAGACAGACTGGATGCTTGTTGACATCAATGCTGTGATAAGGTTGTCAGGAAGACAAATGCAGCCTTTCCTGGTCGTGAGTGGTTGTTCCCCAGTGGCTGGGTTTGATATTTGGGTGGGGGTGCTGGAATGGTTTTCAGGTACTGCTGTCTGTAAGACCTCTCATTAACACCAGTGCAGCCCAGCATGGAGCTGGAACTGTGCGTTCCCATTCTGAAGCTCATCTTGTCTGCTTTGGATTTTGGATCTTCACATAACTTTTATTTGAAAACAAGAATGTTTTAATATTTAATAAGGTTTTTTTTTCTGATCCCAGGGTAGTTAACAGGGAAGTATTGATTGTTTTATAGCAGTTCCTCTGCACTCCTGGTAAGTGAGGCACAGTGCTTGGAACAAGAGGTGCACAAAGGAACCTTGTCTGAGAAACCATGTGGAAATGGGTCTATTCTGCAGGGGAGCATGTCTAGCACCGCTTTTCCTCAATGAACCCACCTGCTAGATGGATTTTGTTTCCACGTGGTTTAGGAGTCATTGAGTCTGTGCAACAATGCAAAGGAGACTCGAGTTCTGAGGATGTCAGTTGCCATAGCAACACTATTTCCCATGGATTTTGGTCCTGTCATAATTGTGCTCTTTTTCTAACATGATTTGGGAGCTGTGTGGTCCTTGGGGGTGTTAGTGCCAGAGTTACTGAGGAATCCTTCCCCTTACCAAATTGATCTAATGCTTTCCTAAAAGACCCAGCTGCTCGTTGCTGGCGCTGGTTGCTGTTCCCTTGCATCACAGATGATTCAGGGGAAATTTTGGGAATGTTCCACAGGTGTCACATCTTGGCAGGGAAATACAGGAGGAGAGAAATACAACTTCAGGGAGCTAAATATGAACTGTGCTTTCTAAGCATATAGAGAGAGCTCTTTAAAACTCTGCATTATAACAAAGGAAATGTAACATCTATGGCAAAAAGCAATTTGGGGGGGGGGAAAGGAAGAAGAAAGAAAAGTAGTTGTTTGTGCTTTACTGAGCTGCTGAGGTTTGGCCCAGGGTGCAGCCTCCTCTTGCCCACGTCACTACTCACAGGTTCCCCACACTGCATGTGGGAGTGCTGTGGTGCTGGGTGGGACACGGTCCCTGCAGGAAGGGAAGCAGCCCCCAGGACTCAGACCTGGGTTTGGCTGGCCGTGTGCTGTCAGAGCTGTGACACCACAGCTGCTGCTCCCGTGTGTGCAGCGTGCTCCTCTAGCAAGCTGTGAGTAGCCTTACCTGTGGTGACTCACCCCTGCTGCGGTGGAGCCAGAGGGACCAGAGACCTCCATCACCGGGATCTCCTCTGTGGGGGGCTGATGGAGCCGCCCTGCCCGGCCCCAGCAGGGGCAGGACACTGAGGGGCCCAGCGTAGCAGATTCTCCCAGTGACTGGGATCACAGAGTCACTGCTGGGAACCTGCCCCCGCACAGAGTGGTTTTGCTAATATTAACTTTAGTTCCATTGCAGCTCAATGGAGGGAAAAACTAGAAAGTGCCATAAATTCAGCCGAGCTTGTCAAAGCTGTCAAATTACCCCCTGACAAAGCTCCTGCCTCTAATGACTACAGCATCAGCCGGAGGGGATGTCTGTGATGGGGCGACAGCGCCAGGGCCCAGCACTGTTACACTTGTGATGTGCTGTCATCGGGGCCTCCAGGGCGCCAGTCAAGGGTGACGCTCTGACCAGAGTTAATTCTTAAAAAAAAAAAAATTAAAAAATTCCAAGGATGTAGAGTAGCATCCTGCCCTCTGTTCTCAGCCGGAGTAATGCTGACTTCTAGTAAAGGTCTAAATTCTGCTAAATTCTAGTAAAGGTCTTCCTTGGTCCCATTTCTTAGCATTAGAAGTCCAGGGAGATAATGTCTTTGCACGTATAAAAGGTGGTATTGATTTCCTGTTACTGTTGTCCTGAAATGTGCACAGGGTGTCTGTGGAGCAGTGACAATCCTCCATCACTAGCTTTATGGGGAAAGAATGGTTATTGAATCTCTTCCCATAAAATATAATCTCTTTCTTCCTTCCAGAATTTGCCCACTCCTGGGGGAGTCCCTCATGTTATGTCTTTGAGGAAATTGATTTTTTTTGTCTCCACTTTGTACACTTGTGTTTAGTTTTATTTTTAATTTGGCTCATGTGATGTGAAGCGAAGGCTTCCCTAACATTAAGCATGCTTTCTCAGTCTTGTACCGCTTCTCTTTCATGTAGATTAGCACTTTCAGAATGTTTTAAAGTAAAATAAAGATATTTGCTTGGCACAAGTCTCTCTTGTTGTTGCTAGGAATTTTTTTACTCTGGGAAAGTTGTTGCCCTGCTCTTTCTTTCCAGGCAGGGCTGAGGCACTGACAGCTTTGCAGCTGCTCACAGATAAATTCTGGGTAAGTTTCTGGAGTCAAACACATGCTGATTTATCATGGCTGAATGACACCATGGTGGAGAACACAACTTGCAGTGCTGTCTGCTCAAGGAGCAGTGTGGTCTTTCAACTTGAACAGTGGCAAAAATACTCTGTCAAATATGTCCTTTCCTCTGTGTAGCAAATGACTGACTATGGGATTTTTCCTTTCAGGGAGGAAACGGCAACATGAATTCATAGATGATGAGTAGGATGCCAAAGCCAGAGATGACAGTGCTCTTGAAGAAATGCTGGGTAGAACAAAAAGGTAAAAGGAACAGCTAATTGAGTGCATTTCAGAGCCTGTGGGACTTCGTGGGGTACCTTTCCTCATGAGGCAAATGGCACACCCCCTCGAACCAGAGCTCAGTGTTCTGAATTCCCTCCTCCTCTGTTTTGCATGAAGTCCCAGTGCTGCCTCTCACTCCTGACCTGCTCTCTGTGCTCGGGCTTTCCCCAGAGCTGTGTCGCTCTGTACCTAAAGCCCGTGAGACTCATCCTTTCCACCCTGTCCTTGCATGCAAAGGGGCTGCAGCTCTCCCTGCCCCACCAGCCCAGCAGTCACACCAGGTCTCTGCTGCCGTGGTTGTGCTGAGGGCAAAACCAGAAAAGAGCTGCACTGGGTGGGTCCCTTTGCAGCCAGTGCCGTGCTCCGGAGCGTCGGTCACTGGTCAGTCATGGCACGTTCTGGCTGTGGACGTGCCCTGGGCAGGCACACACGGCTGCAGTGTTGGGATGCTCTGCAAACAGGTGCCTCTGCCAGGGATGAATCGCTCTGCTACTCTGCTGTCTTTTACTGTGTTTGGTGTTAATGCTGTGGAGATGCCCAGAGGAATCACTTCTTATTGGCTCTTTCGTTCTGAGAAATTATCTCTGTAAGGGAGGCATGATAGTCCACCTGAGGATTTGGGGAGGTGAGAGGCAGATTTAATCACACCTGCAGAGTGCTGCACACTGGAAAGGCCTCATTGTGGTCATCCAGTGGCAGCAGAAGTGGCTGAAGCAACTGATGAGGAGCAAGAAAATCTTTAGTAGTAGTGTAGTCCTCCTTTGGATATTTTCATGCCTGTTTAGGGCAGACTGACTTCAATCCCCCAAAAGTCAAAAGCAAATGTTCTCCTTGGAAGTGTTCCAGGTTTGTAGTGGTGAACTGCGTGTTGCCCCTGCCTCTCAGCTCACTCTGGCAGCAGGTGTGTGGGACACCAGGGCATTTCTGGGGCAAAGCAGAAGATCTTGTCAATAGTGTGTAAAGGGTTGGTATATATAAATAACAGTTCTATTCTGCTGGAAGCTTTGTCTTTGAAACAGCAATCAGGGAGGAATTCATTGTAGTTTAGGTGTTGGTGCCATTTGGCAAACTGGAGGTCTGAGTGTCCTTGGAGCCTCCAGCCTGGTATAACAAGAGCCTGTCATGGGGCAGAGCTCTGCACCCTGCCCATGTTCAAAATATCCTCTAAATATACTCTGAAATACAGATTGGAGTTTTTTGAATGATCCTGACTTGAATAAGCTGTCCTACAGTTCAAATATATGGTGATACAACTTTTAGTTTAATAACACCAGAGTTGAGTATTCAAGGATACTTTAAATCATAATTAACAAATTTCTGTTGTTGTCAATCCATGTTTTGGGAGATCTGATAGTTTTGTCTGTCCCTTTTCTGCATATGTGTACGTTAAGGCTGTTGATGTATTTTTCAGCTATTTCTATAAACTTGGATGTAAATCTGTTACATTCTTTGAGTTTCAAAATTCTTCACCATCAATCTGGAGAGCTTTGAGTCTGTGAAACTGGGCTCTATAAAACTGGAGTCTGTGGTGGCAGGAGCCATGTCCCTGTGGCGGTGCCAGTTCCCCAGAGCCAGGACGTGTTCCCTGTTCCTCCTGCTCCCTCTTTGGGGCTCTGGAGCCCAGCCAGCACGGCGTGGTGGTGGCTGCAGCACCCATGAGTCCAGGTGAAATGTGGAACAGGGAGGTGATTTTCAGTATTTGCTGCAGTTTCGAGAGCTCGACAGACATGTTGTTTTCCTGCTCACGCTGGTAAACGTTGGCTCAGGGCAGATGCCCAGTGCTGGTGCTTTAGGGTGGCCAGTGGCCACTAGCTGTGCTCAGCATTGCCGTTGCCAGCTCTGGCATCATGGCACGTGCTGTCCACTCAGCAGTGGCTGGACAGCTCTGAAAGGACCAGATTTGGCATCAGCACTATCCCTTCTGCAGGCGTTGTGCTTCAGGTGCTGCCAAGTCCTCTCCGCTTCTGCTTCCTTGCAGCACGTGGTATTTGGTGTGACCCTGAGGACAGACAGTTGTCTGCTGGACTAGCTTGTGGTTTTTCCCTCAGCTGTGTCAGCATTCAGGTTTTCAGTTGTGGGGGGCACATCAGTGGCTGTTAGTAGAACTTGGGGCTCCAAGGTTTTCTAATTTTTGTTTGTGGGGTTTTACTGGTTTTGGTTTGGGTTTTTCCCCCAAGAAATTGTGGATATTTTTAAGTAGTACATGTTAGTTCCTCAGATGAGCCATTCACTGCAACCTTGGGAATTTTAATCCAGATATTCACTCTCAACAAACTTACTATGATGACCATACAAGCGCTTTTGTTCAGAAAAACTTTCAGTATCGCTACTAAGAACATGAATTGGAATTTTGATTGTGAAAATTATTGGCAAAGTCTGGCCATGTGGAGCAGGTTTTACAGTGTGCATGATGGGCTGTTGATGGGGGTAAGCACAGATCCTGGGGAAGGTCCCAGGTTTCCTGTAAATATTCAGGTGAGGTTGTGCTGACTTGCTGACTTACTTGTGCTGACTTGTTTCCCTGGCAGAGATGGCCCTTTGGATACTTGTTAAACAAACATTAAATACAGACTGATGCTGTCAAAAGGAGAATGCAGATCACTTAACACCAAAAGTGGCACTTCACAGGGACCTTTTGCAATTTGTAGCTCAATAAAAAGGGTAACCCCTGTAGGAATATCCTGTCCTTGCCTATTCTGTCCTTTTCTGCAGTGCCGACAGGATCACATTCCTGGTTTTACTTTCACGCTGTCCCAGGCTGAAATACTTCATATTTCACACTCTGGGTTCTATAAATAATTGATATGCCTGTCTTAGCAACTGAGGATCAGCAGCAAATTGTATTATTGTGGAGTAATAGGGATTTTCTGCAGTCTTTACTCTGTTTCATCTCTAATTTTTACTCTGCCACTGAGAGTGTAGAAACTGATTTACTCCACTTTGGGAAAAAAAGTATTACTGTTCCAGTGTTACTGTTCCAGTCCTTCAGGGGAGAAAGTTCAGGGGAAAGTCAGGACTCACAAATGAACCCATCTCAGTGAAGACGAGTTGTTTTTGCGTGTTTGCTGCAGCTACTGTTTGGAAATATTCCTCATTCTGTGCAACTCTCATGGGTCACATGGGAAAGAATAGTTTTAATGGTTAGACGAGGATTAGGCAGACCTAGAAAGAAACTCTGCTCTGTAGCTAAAACCAGTGAGAAAGTATTAAACCAATCATTTTTGCTGTAAGAACTGCTGTGTACCTTGCTGACAGAGCAGAAGGGGTTTGTGTGATAAGGCACCATCAGGTCTCCCCGGGAGAACTGGAGCAGCTGTCCTGCCACAGTGCCACTGGGAGCAAAGCATGAGTGACTCTAGTTTGTGACACTGGAATTACACTTCCATTTGGTTTACCTATTCATAAATAATGATGGGAGCAGTCAGGGAAGTTCCTTCTCATTAGGAATTTATAGCATGGAGAGTCCAGTTGGGGTGGAGTCCTTTAAAGATTGGGATAATGCTTTCAGCAATGATGCTTTTTAATTGAAAGCTTAAGTGCTCTGTGTGCTAATGATGCTCCTGGAGGGAATCACAGGAGCATATGACTGGGGACTTGGTTTGGAAGTGCCAGGATGGGTTTCTGGGCAAAGGGCAGAGCCAGGGAGGTGCTGAGCAGACTGACTCGGGTAAATTTGACTTTGCCTCTGGCTTCCAGTTCTGGAATCTGCATGGCTTTGAGCACCTTCTACCTTTGTTACCATCACCAATTCCTCTTCCTTTGGTTCTCCTGTTGTTCTTCTGCTGTTGTCTTCCCCTCCCCTCCCCTGATTCTTCTGTTCTCAGTGCCTGAAGCTGACAGTTTCATACCTTGGTGACTGGTTTGGCTCCCAGATCTGTATTTATTCAGTTAATGCAGACAACAGTTCAATTCCAGAGGAGTTAAGTATCTTGGAAAAGATACTTGTTTAAAAACAGGAACACAAATTTCGGAGCATACCTTTAGGGATCTTAAACATCCTTTTCCATTATTATTTGCTCCAGCCGTGGCTTGAGATCCGATCCTGAACTCAGCCGAGGGTTGTGCTTTGTGGTGCCGGGTTCCCTGGCCAGTGCTGAGCTGGGAGCTGTGCAGCCCTGGGAGCAGAGCCAGTTGGCTGCCAACACTGCACCAGGGCTTCCGGCTCTGGGGCTTCGCAGGATTTACACTTTCTCATTGGGGAATAGCTGGATTTCCTATGCTAGCAGGGGAGGGGGGTTAGGACGTGGGCTAAAGCATCCACAGAGAGCAGCCAGGCTATACAGCTTGTTACAGGAGGATGACAGCTTAAAGAAAATTAAAAACACAATCCTTCCGTGACCCTCATTGAAGACTGCACTAAAATTCCAACTGAGGCGACCACGGATGACAATCATATTCCCTCCTTACATGGAATAACTCCATTGTCTTATTAGAATAGAAAGCAAAGACAAATGTCTGGATATAGTGTAGGAAATTGTCTTTACTAAATCTAGCTCAGCGCTTATGAGCACCGTATATATTATTTGATTTTGCCAGAATTACATAAACATGGGGGAAAATTGTTAATGTAAGTTGACTACCGGAATAAATCACAGCCTAATTATTCTTTTTTTTTTTTGGCTAAAATTAGAATTTGATATAGTGGTCAATAGACATTTTCTTTAATTTTTGAGACATAATTTCTAATAGCTAGTCCAAATGAATTGGAGAAAGTTGCTGCAGAATTGAAAAAATAAATTATCCAAATTTTATGGTGACTTACTGTTAAATCTCCTTAGTTGGAAACTTTAATTTACCTCATATTTCAGTTTTTTCTCCTCTAACTGGCTTATGGGTGTATATTAGGGCAAAATAATTGTTACTTTTTTAGTGCCACTGGAGTGCTGGGAGCAGGCACAAAAGTGAAGCCAGACCCCCGGCTCGGCAAAGGCTGAGGGGCTGCAGGGGCAGTGTGTGGGGCACAGCGGGGCAGCTGCTCCCTGGCACTGCTGCCTGCAGCAAAGGCTGACCCTTGGCACCTGTGTCAGTCCCTCTGGAGCTGTGTGATGCTGTCCTGGGATAACTGGGGCTCCAGCACTGCAACCCCCTGGGTGGCACGTGTTTCCCATCTGGAGCCAGTGCCCCTGTAGAAGAACAAAGCATTGTTGGCCCTGTTCTTCATTAAACAGGTAAACACTGTGTTTCATGTTGAGGCTACTGGCTTAAATATCCACAAATTCTTTATGGGGTTTTGCACAGCAACACATCTTTCCTTGGGGTGCGTTAAAGGGGCCAAGGCTTTTGGACTGTGTTTCACTTTAGCCTGGCATGAATACCCTGTAGCCAGCAGAGTTTTACTACAGATGATTTGAGTGTAGTCCTATATTTCTGAGGGAAATAAATGGGCTCAGAACTGCAGAAGGAACAGCAAGAAAGATGGATCTAAACCCCAGAGTGTGGAAGGGGACCGAGCTCAGCTTCCTGCTGGGGGAGTATGTGCTTTCATCCGTTCTGAGTGAGTCCAGTATCCTTAGGTCCTGGTAATGTATATTCTCTTCAATTTCCACACATCATGTTGGGCAAGTTACTTGGATGGCAGAGCCTTAGGCACAGTATACTTCCCTGGAGAACCTTTTGGAAGAAATGCATGTTTTGGGGTATTTACCTGGTTTTGCTGAACCTTGGAATTGGCAGTGGCACATCACAAATGCAGTGACGTGTTGTGAGTAACAGCGAGTTCACACACATTGTCTTGGTTAAGTCTTGGGTTTATTCCTAGAAGAAACACCTTTGGATTCTGTCCGTGGAGAGAGGAAAGGGCAAAAGCATTTTATTTCTATCATGTGAGTTTTTTTAAGCATCTCTCTTCACATTCATGAGAGTATTTTTGTGAAAACACTTGGCATTCCTTGCTTCTAAATCACAGAGTAACTTTTTTGAAACAATTCACAAGGAATGGGGTTCCAACACTGTCATTATGGCTATTAAACCTGTCTGAACTGTTTTCCTTTGTGCTGCTTGCCATAACAATGGCGATGTGTAATTTGTTGAATATCCATAACAGGATATTTGAATATATTCTTTACAGTTTTACTTCTGCGTATAGCTCAGCATGCCAAATCATTAACCCAATTAACCAAGCCAGATCCACATCTGCCATGGAATGACAATGAAGATTTTTAAAACAACTTGGTATTTCACCTCCCTCTTAACGAAAGCAACTCAGACACCAATCACCATCATAGTGGCAGCTTTTATCAGCATGCTGATAAAAATTATTCATGATTCAGACTGCACAAACTCTTGGTACATCTCCTCTCTCGCTGCTTATCTGTGCATGTGCCCCTGGAAAGGTAAGAGCGAGCCAGTTTATCCCACATCATCCACGCACGGAATCCTGTGCAGTTCAGTACCTCTGTACCTTAACAGCGATTTGAGTTTTAAACAGTGGGAGCTGGAAACCTGAAAGATACCAGCAGCACTTCAATTCAAATGGCTTCTTTCTTATCATTTTATTGCACAGAAATTGAATGAAAATATTTGGGGCTTTGCTGGCATGCTGGATGAAAAATCCCTGTTCAAATAGCATCTGTGGTATTACACAGATCACACTGCTGTAGTAACCTGTGTGTACTGGTAACATTAGGTATGATTTCAGGTGTGGGAGGTTCAGTTCATTAGGGATTTGTGTCCCCTGGTAAAAAAAGCTCATATAGATGAGAACGGTTCATTAGCTAGATGTAGCAGAGTTCATATGCTGCTTCAGTAACCCCTTAAAAATGCTTTATTCATCCTCATCCGCACAAATTCGCATAGTCTTTGCAGACCAGGAAGGATCTAGGAAGCCAGACAGTGCTCCCAAAGACTCGTGACAGAGCAGGGTGCATGCTGCTATGGAGCCAGGGTGGTTGTGTTAGTCCTGGCAGCAGAGCTGTTCCCAACTGCTGCAGCAGCAGTTCCTCCATCCCCAGGCTGTGCTGGCTGGGAGAAGGAGCCGGTGTCCTGAGCAACCTTGTCTCTCCAGCATGGACCTCGTTACTCTAATGAGCCATAGAAGCACAAGGAACTGCTCGAGCTTTGGAGGCAAGAGAGAGATGGACACTTCTGTGTGTGCACGGAGCTGACTTGGCGGCTCACTATGTTTGAGGATGATCCCAAGGTGATGTGATCCATGTGAAGTCCTCACAGTTCCCTGTTCCAAAGGTGCCAGTGAATACTGAGGTGAGGGCTGTGACCAGAATGAATGGTTGTGCCCATCTCCCTGGCAAGAATGGGAAGGCTGTTTGTGGCAGCAGCTGCTGTGCGTGTGGGGGGAGCAGCCTGGGGTCCTGTGTGGTGTCAGCTACGAGCACAGGGTGCTGCAAAATGAGCCCAACAGCTCTCTGGCATTGCTGTGTTTGGTACCACACTGAGGATCTGTGTCAGCTGGCCCCACCATTTCTTTTATCTCCTTTTTGTTACTTAGTCTTGCTTGGATACCCACATGGAAGCTCAAGCCCCCTGTGTATGCTGGCCTGACACCCCTGGGGCAGGAGAGCTGCATGGCTGGAGGTGAGCTGGCTCCTTGGCTAAGCCAGGTGCCCATTTCTTGCTGGAGGAGAGGCAGCAAGGCAGATCTGTCCATAGGGGCTCTGGCACCTGCCACCCTGAGTGGAGCACTGGGGAGGAGCTTGGTGTGGGCTGGTCCTGCACACCTCACCAAGGTGTCAGCCTGGTGGTGGGACCTGCCTCAGGGAGTTGCCTGTTCCTCAGCACCCAGGGATGCCTCTTTTAGTCTGGCGTTATCTTTTGCCATAATGCAAACTGTGAGGTGCAACAACTGTGGGGCTACCTCATGTCTCTGCTAAGCTTATGGATCGTCTTGGAAGAATGTCCAAGGAGAAACATAAATTCCCTGGAACTCATCAAGAAAATGGTAGCTCTTTGCCAATGTGGCAAAGAGAAAAGTTTCCGTTTTCAGCATATTTTGAAGAGCTGAAGAAAACAATTGTGTTAGCTGATCCTGTGGCTGCATTAGTATTTGTGGGTATTTATAGGACACTGTACCAGATGAGCTTTCTGACCGTCGGGAGTGAGCCTGTCATTCTGGAGCCTCTTCATCAATGTGCCTTTCACGCTCCACAAGATTAGCAGCTGCTGAAAATAGGAAAAAGGAATTTTCCTTTCTTCTGTCTTAGAAGAGACCCATCACACCATCCTCCTTTCGTCTGGGCTCAGAAGTGGCTTTGGTCCTTAGCAAAGCCAGAGCACCAACAGGTCTTTTTAAAGAAGTTCCGCTCCCAGGAGGATCTAAGGGAAAATATCCTTTTTGTGTGTTTAGTAACACACATCAAAGGAAACAACCGTTCCAGTCTTGGTTTGCATTGTGCAGGCATTAGCTGTGGTCCAGTTCCACAGGCTCGAGGAGGCTGCAGTGTCCGTGCTCGTCAAGCTCTGACAGACACGGGGGGACTTAGCCAGGCCAGAACGTGCTCGGGGCACGTTGCTTTTGAGAAGAACAGAGCGATTTCCTTGGTGTCACGGGAGCCCCTTCACTGCCCCGGCCCCGGGTGGTGTGCCCAGCGGGACCTGTGACACCGTGGGGTGGGCAGGGCTGCCTTACACCTGTCACAGCTCTTTGGTTCTCTCTGCAACATCCCAAATCCTCACCTGCTCGCCCCGCACGGTGCCAGGAGCGGCCGTTCCAGCCGAGCATCGCGCTGCACACCCTGGAGTGGGCTCTGAAAGGGGGGCCACAGCCCCCCGAGAGCTCGGCAGTACCGGAGGGGAAATCACCTCTACACCCCCGGGCCGGGGCCCAGGGCAGGGAAACGGCACCGAGCTTCGTCTATAAAGGGAGGAGAGCCCGGGGGCCTGCCCTCCCCGGGGGGCTCTGTTCCCCGCCTTCCCTGCCGGCAGCGCCGGGACCAGCCCATCCGGGCGGACGCTCTGACCGGGACGCGCCGGTTGGGCGCCGGCGTTACCGAGGGCGGTGCCAGACGCGGTCCGCAGGTGCCGCCCGTCGCAGCCCGCCCGCGGGTGTCCCGGCGGGGCCGCTTCCCTCACGCGCTGCCGGCTCAGCCCGGCGCGGGGCGGGGCGGGCCCGGCGGCCCCGCCAATCGCCGCCTTTGTTTGGGGTCACCGGGCGCGGGGGGGGCGGGGCCCACCGGGGCCGCGCGCAGCCAATAGGCGGGGCCGGGGGCGGGGCCGATTTCCCGTTCCGCGCACCCTATTGGTCCCGCGGGACGTCACTCCGGCGGGCGGCTCCGCTCGTTGGCCGCCGGCGCGCGGGCCGCCGTGCGTCAATCGCCGCGTCCCGCCTCCCCTGCGGCGCGATTGGCGGCGGTGGCCGTCAAGTCGCACGGTGCCGTTCATTCAGTGGCTGCCGCGGCCATCGGTCACGCGCTCCGTCCTGCCCCCTCGTCCGCCCAGCGCCGCCGCTGAGTGGCTGCGGCTCGTGCCACTGAAGCGGTACCGCGCTTCTATTGGTGGGGCGCGTTGTCCATCGCGCCCATCCCCTCCGGGCGCCCGCCTCCCGCCGGCCGCGATTGGCCGCCGGGGGTGTCAGTTCGGCGGCTCGGCCAATGGGCGGCGCGGGGCGTGCGCGGTGCGCGCGGGGCGGCCGGGCCGGCGGCGGCGCGGGAGGAGGCGGCGCGCGCCTGGTCCCGGTCGCGAGGAGGCGGAGGAGGATGTGGCGCGCGGAGGGGAAATGGCCGCCGAAAACAAGCCGGAAGGTGAGAGCGCGGCCGGGCCGCCCCCGCCCCGCGCCGGGCCCCGCGCCGGGCCTGCCCGCCGGGCCGCCCCCGCCCCCCGCCACGGCCCCGCCGCGAGGCGGCGGCGACACAGGCCGGGCCGCGCGGTGCGAAGTTTGCGGCGGCGGCGGCGCCTCCGCGGGGTCGGGTCGGGCCGGGCCGGGGCGGCAGGCGGGCCATGTGCGGCGGGCAGGCCGCGTGGCGCCGGGGCCGTGGCGGCCGGGCCGGGCACGGTCCCGCCTCCCGCCGCCCGCCGGCACGTGCCCGCCCGCCGCCAACATGGAGGCTGCGGCGGCGCGGGGCGGTGCGGGGCGCGGGGCCGCCGGGCCGCCGCTCGGCGCGCACGGGCCGGGCCGCCCCCGCCGGCCCCCCCTCCGGCGGCGGCGGCGGCGGCGCACGTGCCTCGCGGGCGCGCGCCCGTCGGGAGCGGGGCGGCCTCGGCTGCGGCCGCGCCGTACCGGGGCCTCCGCGGCGCGGGCGGGCCGGGGGCGGGCGGAGCGGCGAGCGCGGAGGTGAGCGGGGCGCGAGGCCGGGGGCACCGGCGGGCCTGGCTCGGGCCGAAAGTTGTCGGCGCGGCGGGAGCGGGGCCGGCGCGTCCGCAAGGGGGAAGCTCCGCTCCGCCGCCGCTCCTGCCCCCGGCACGGCGGGAGCGCGGCCGCGGCCCGGGCCGGGCGCGCCGGGGTCGGTAATTCCGCTTTACTGGAGCGAAGTTTGCCCCGGACGGCGCCGGGCGGGGGGGTCGCGGCCGGTACCGCTGTCGGCGCTTCTATGTGACAGGGGCGGGAGGAGCGGGTGGAGAGCCGTTCGCATCCCCGACCTAAACCCGGGCGAACGTGCCGACACCCCAGGGATTGGCCTGGTCGTAGTTGGGCACCGTAAAGAAAGGTGTTTAGTTACTAATATGGATTTTTTTTCCTTATTCGCCGCAGCAAACGCACGTCTTTACCTTGATGAGCCCATTGGCGTTCTTTAACGGGAAACCCCTGCTTAGAATACAAGGGTGGCTATACAACCTTTTGTCTGGATTTTTGCTCAGATTGCTTTGGGAATATATTTTTTTGGGTTGTTTCTTGTAACTTCGTGGCATTAGAGCTTCCATGGGTATGGCCACCTCTCTTGAGTTTTGCCTGCACTGTGTCCAGTGGGGTGAGGGCCAAAGGCTTTGCAAAAATGTAATTTTTAAGTAGTAGCAGTGATTTTGAGTGTTGTTAGCTTCATATTTTACTATCTTTTTAACGCTCCCAAATCCATTAATCAGATCTTTTCTATGGTCTGGAAAACACCAGTCTTCATTCTTTCCTCATTTGGTTTTAAGTACATGATTAACTGCACTGAAGTAAGGAAATGCCACCTGGTTAACAGGGACGTGAGTGAGGAGAAAGTGAGCATTCACCTGGGCTTCCTGGCTCAGATTGTGACGTTTCAGTTCTCTTGGGGGTGACAGTATTGTCACCAGAGCACACTCAGGCTCCATTCACTTTTCGGGCTTCCTGTGCCAACATACGATGGATTTTTCCTACGTAAAACCCAGGTTTTGGTGTGCTCAGCCCTGTGAGGCCGCAGCTCCACGGACCAGGCAGGTCAGTGCTCCCTGACTGGGAAGGTAATTTGTCCTTTCCCCTTGTTATTTATTGCAACTTCTGTCAGGTTTGGTGTTGGTGGCTGGTTTCTGGGGACAGGTTAGATGTGTCCTTGCTGAGGAGATGGGTTTGCTCTGCCGAGTAGGGCTGTGCCGAAACTGCCAGAGAGGCGCCCGCTGTGCCTGGCGCTGCTGTCCGGTGTCTCTGCTGGCTGGGCCGGAGCTGCCGCTGCTCCGTGCCCGTGCACAGCACGGCAGCATCACGGAGGTGGGAACAGAGCATTCCTGGCTCTGCCTCAGCAGCTGGGATGTTCTCGTAGTAAGTCACAGAGCAGCTCCCCCGCTGACCTACTTCTGTGGTGGATTTTCAAGGAGATGCGATATAAACCATTCATTCCTTAAACTTAAACTCCACCTGTCAGAAACTTAAGTGGGAATGGTTTTAAAGCATGATTCAAGCAGAGTGTTTCACCAGTAGTGCAGGTGTTGGAGGAGAGAACACCAGTTACTTTGGATTTTTGTTACTTTAATGAGTTAAAAGCCGATGTAAATGGCAGCTCGAGGGCCGGCTGCTTTCATTGGGAAGCCGCCTGCTCCATCCCCCCAGCGCGGTGCAGCAGGAGCACACGGCTCTGAAGACCTGCCCAGCCTTGGAGCTCTGTGCTGAGCTTCGGTCTGAGCTTCGGTTGGGGCTTCTTGTGCCCCTCGAGCAGCAGGGGATCACTGGCGGGAGGTGAGGTTTGGAATGAGGCTGGCGCCGCTGTCCCCTGGCTGCAGAAAAGAGTTCCACGGCTTGGAGAACTCGGGTGAGTTTCCTCTTTTCTGGTTTCCTGGGGCAGGATGAGGCTGGCTCAGTGACCAAGTGGCTCTTGCCATCCTGCAGCAGAGGGTTTGTGGGTTTTGTAGTTCCTGCTACGTTTTGTGTAGCTGAGCTGAGCTGGGAGGACTGACCCTCAGCGGTGCCATCTTGGCAGCTGTGACAGCTCTGAACTTCATCAGGGAGGTGATGGAGGGGGGCCCTTTTAAAAACTTCCTTTTTCTAATTTAAAGTTCAAAATAGAAAGGATGTGCATGGACAACCTTGCTTTTGTTTCTGTGTTCTCATGGACAGGTACCTGTAACCGTGAGCTTTGCAGAGAGCAGTGCCTGTGTGTTCGGTGTGTGGCTGGCGCAGGGGCCGGGCACCTTGCCGTGTGGTTGTTGCATTTTCTATCTGTTTGGGCAGGGTCATAGGTGGGATAGCAGGAGGTGGTGTTCCTCCCCACAGCTTGCGATGAGCTGAGGGTGCTGGTGGCATGGGCTGACCGAGAGGGCAGGTGGAGCCTCAGGTGTTTCTGACTTCGGAGGGATTGTTTGGGGAACAATCTTTTGAAAACAAAACATTCTCGATTTGGTTGTTAAACAGCAAATATTTACTTTCCTCTGTGGAAGTGTGTTGCGTAAGATTTTATTACTTAAACAAGCCTGAGCTTACGGTGTGCTGATGGCTGGGGCTGTGTGCCATGCTCCGTGCTGCTGTCCAGCTTGGCAGGATCAGGCTGTCTCGGAGAGGAGGCAGCACTTGACACTCGGCTCAGTCCACTCCTTGCCCCAGAATCTTTGCTGAATTTTCAGCAGTTGGGATTTTACCAAAATCTCTTTTGTCGGAGATGGAAGCAAACTGCCTCCTAGTGAAGCTTCTAGACCCTCTCTGTGGGCTGTCAGCCAGCAGGACGGGTTCAGGGAGCAGACTCGATTTGCTTTTTCCAAATAGCAGGAACTGCTTGTGTGTGAGGTCAGTTTTCTGAGTACTTTTGGTATTATAGCTGTGTTATTCCCGATGTAAGGCATGGGGCTTGTTTAAAGCTCTGGTTTTTTAGTTCACTATCTCATCTCTTCTTTTGTTTTTCAAAAGCACTTTGACTCTAAGGTTCTTTGGTTTATTTGTGTCAGTTTTAAAGCTACATCTGGAGGAAACCTTCCTGGAGATGTCATAACTCAGATTTCATTCTCTGAATCAGAAAATGATACAGGGAAATGATGATGTACAAGTAAGGTTAAAACAGATGTTTTAAAATTTAGCATTTGAGGACTTGGTGCCACCTTTACATTACTAGTGGATTTAAATGGCTCTTGTAAAGACCTGCTTACAAAGGTGGATATTGCTGGAGAAAGGGGCAATAGCTATCCTACCTCTGTCCAGACAGCCTTTAGAAAGAAGGAACTGGAATGTGACCTTCCTTTTTTAACGTCCCTCTGTCTCTGCTTCAGTAAGCCACATGTGTCTGGAGGGTAGAAAAAACTCTGACAAACCCAAACCTTTCCAGGGAGTGAAACCAGGCTGGTGGAGTGCTTGTGGAATATGGGGATGGTTAGTTGAAATACAGTGCTTCCAACAGCTTCCTGCAGCTTTGGTGTTCCCTGGCTTCCACTTCCACACCTTGCTGAGTTTTTGCTTTGTGGTTTTCTCCCCTCATTTGGTGTCTTGTTTTCATCTTCCACAGCTCCCGGCACCCTGGCAGCCCTGCGTTGGGTTTGCGCTGTGTTAAACCCCTTGGGTTTGGAAAGGCAGGTTCACCTGCAGGTGCTTGCACCTGTCTTAGCCCCAGTGCTTTGGGGTACAGCACCCACCCTGTTCCCAGGGCGATGCCGAAGGGGCTCTCTGTGCCAAGGAGCAGTCACGGCACTGAGTGAGTGAGAGCAAACTCTGTTCTCGCTGGGCATGGAGCACTCACTGTCCTTCTCCAGTTGCACATT